CGAGTACTGATACTTTGGTTGAGTGCTCACCGATACCGAGTACTGATACCTTTGGTTGAGTACTCACTGATACCGAGTACTGATACTTGTGGTTGAGTACTCACCGATACCGAGTACTGATACTTTGGTTGAGTGCTCACCGATACCGATACTGATACCTTTGGTTGAGTACTTACCGATACCGAGTACTGATACTTTGGTTGAGTACTCACTGATACCGAGTACTGATACTTTTGGTTGAGTACTCACCGATACCGAGTACTGATACCTTTGGTTGAGTACTCACCGATACCGAGTACTGATACTTTGGTTGAGTACTCACCGATACCGGTACTGATATCTTTGGTTGAGTACTCACCGATACCGAGTACTGATACTTGTGGTTGAGTACTCACCGATACCGAGTACTGATACCTTTGGTTGAGTACTCACCGATACCGAGTACTGGATACCTTTGGTTGAGTACTCACCGATACCGAGTACTGATACCTTTGGTTGAGTGCTCACCGATACCGAGTACTGATACTTGTGGTTGAGTACTCACCGATACCGAGTACTGATACTTGTGGTTGAGTACTCACCGATACCGAGTACTGATACTTTGGTTGAGTGCTCACCGATACCGAGTACTGATACCTTTGGTTGAGTGCTCACCGATACCGAGTACTGATACTTGTGGTTGAGTACTCACCGATACCGAGTACTGATACCTTTGGTTGAGTGCTCACCGATACTGAGTACTGATACTTGTGGTTGAGTGCTCACCGATACTGAGTACTGATACTTGTGGTTGAGTGCTCACCGATACCGAGTACTGATACTTGTGGTTGAGTGCTCACCGATACCGAGTACTGATACTTGTGGTTGAGTGCTCACCGATACCGAGTACTGATACCTTTGGTTGAGTGCTCACCGATACCGAGTACTGATACTTGTGGTTGAGTACTCACCAATACCGAGTACTGATACTTGTGGTTGAGTACTCACCGATACCGAGTACTGATACTTCTGGTTGAGTGCTCACCGATACCGAGTACTGATACCTTTGGTTGAGTGCTCACCGATACCGAGTACTGATACTTGTGGTTGAGTACTCACCGATACCGAGTACTGATACCTTTGGTTGAGTGCTCACCGATACTGAGTACTGATACTTGTGGTTGAGTGCTCACCGATACTGAGTACTGATACTTGTGGTTGAGTGCTCACTGATACCGAGTACTGATACTTGTGGTTGAGTGCTCACCGATACCGAGTACTGATACTTGTGGTTGAGTACTCACCGATACCGAGTACTGATACTTGTGGTTGAGTGCTCACCAATACTGAATACTGATACTTCTGGTTGAGTGCTCACCGATACCGAATACTGATACTTGTGGTTGAGTGCTCACCAATACTGAATACTGATACTTGTGGTTGAGTACTCACCGATACCGAGTACTGATACTTGTGGTTGAGTGCTCACTGATACCGAGTACTGATACCTTTGGTTGAGTGCTCACCGATACCGAGTACTGATACCTTTGGTTGAGTGCTCACCGATACTGACTACTGATACTTGTGGTTGAGTGCTCACCGATACCGAGCACTGATACTTGTGGTTGAGTACTCACTGATACCGAGTACTCATACTTGTGGTTGAGTACTCACTGATACCGAGTACTGATATCTTTGGTTGAGTACTCACCAATACCGAGTACTGATACTTGTGGTTGAGTACTCACCGATACCGAGTACTGATACTTGTGGTTGAGTGCTCACCGATACCGAGTACTGATACTTGTGGTTGAGTGCTCACCGATACCGAGTACTGATACCTTTGGTTGAGTGCTCACTGATACCGAGTACTGATACTTGTGGTTGAGTGCTCACCGATACCGAGTACTGATACCTTTGGTTGAGTGCTCACCGATACCGAGTACTGATACCTTTGGTTGAGTGCTCACCGATACCGAGTACTGATACCTTTGGTTGAGTACTTACCGATACCGAGTACTGATACTTTTGGTTGAGTACTCACCGATACCGAGTACTGATACTTGTGGTTGAGTACTCACCGAAACCGGGTACTGATATCTTTGGTTGAGTACTCACCGATACCGAGTACTGATACTTGTGGTTGAGTACTCACCGATACCGAGTACTGGTACATTTGGTTGAGTACTCACTGATACCGAGTACTGGTACATTTGGTTGAGTACTCACCGATACCGAGTACTGATATCTTTGGTTGAGTACTCACCGATACCGAGTACTGATACTTGTGGTTGAGTACTCACCGATACCGAGTACTGGTACATTTGGTTGAGTACTCACCGATACCGAGTACTGATATCTTTGGTTGAGTACTCACTGATACCGAGTACTGGTACTTTGCAGTGCGATTTGCATTAACGGACGCTAATTGCACCACAAAGAATAGCATGAGAGTTGAATGGGGCCGCGATTCCTGTCCAGACCACGCGTGGTGTCCTGCTTGTCATAGCCGAGTTCACAGACGAGCGGGTGTGGGAAACCTCCCGGCACAATCCCATGCTTGGTGTCAGTGGTGGGAGAGGAGATTTGAAATCCTTCCTTTCCTCTCCTGTCAGGGATGACAGTTCAGGTTAGACGGCTTCTGATTGGGAACTTAAGGAGTGAAGCGCTCGGAGCAGCACCTCAGCTCACCATCATTCGCTTTACTTCACAAGTCCCTAAGCCATACAATATACTGCGCGTTGTTTTTTTCTGTAGGGTCGCCGGTATATGTTTGATTTTTATGCTACTTCAATAAATATATATTTTTATTACCGCTATTGTGGACGTCATAGCGCACAAAGAGTCCCCTGGAGAGTGCTAGTTCTTTGGTGTACATTTGTCCTCGTCCCATGCGATCATACGTTCTACATGATCAATATTGTCCATCACAAGTCCATATGGCCAACACTGGAACCTCTGTACACCGCCAGTGTCCAGCAATCACGGAGCGCGCCATGGTAATAAAATGTCTGCTTAGACTTCTGATTCGCTTGTAGGATCCCAGCAGCATGGACAGCACAATAATCGGGTTCATTTGGGACCTTGATTATGGCAAGTGTATCAGATAACTGCAGTATTTTGTCCCAAAATTGGAGAATTTTTGGATAGGTGCATTATGACATTTAAAAATAAAACCTTATTTAGGCCCTGTGATGTCATCACTAGGATTCTGTTATTCACTATACAAGGCAGGCAGATCATGGCTGGTGGGAGGGGCCAGTAGGCAGCTGGATTGTACAAAGCTTCCTGAAAAAAATTACAACACCCTGCTGGGTCGCTAGGATGCCCTGTGCCATGAGATCCATCCCATAAACAGGAAAGGAGCTCCTTCACTACCAGGCCCTTGTCACCACTTCCCTGCTGGCTGACTACTTATGCACCTGACAGTCGCACTGTTGTCATGGACAATATGGCCTCCTCCAGACAGCTTCTCTGCTCGCTGAACATTTGTACAATAACTTCACTAACTCGTCCTATCCCTCAGTCGTCTTTCTGGGGACACCATTGCACCCCTCTAGTGACTTCAGACCAGGCAGACTGAAGAACAATAGAGTTCTTTTACTGAAAGAGGTAAATATGACCGATGAAGAGTCCTCAGAGACATCGTCCAAACAGTCCTGTACCAAGTCCTCTAAGTGCCCATTAGTTGTGCTCCTGCTGCTCCCTTTTACCACATGGGGTCGCCTTTTAGTCCATTTCAGCAGCATATCCCTTGGAACCCCAACTGGACTCCCTTGCCAGCACTTTCCTTCTCTTTCCATGAGGAGCAATGATGACCCACTACATGCGCATAATCCTTGCGCTTCTGGTAAATGCAAACACACTTCATTTACATCATAAAGCAGTTATCAGCACTGTATCCGGCTTACACCGCATTCCTCAGCATATTGGTCTTTGATGTCATCCATTCACCATTTCATTGGACTGCTAGATTTTAGCATTTTTATTTTCTACTCATGTATATTGTGCTAAAGTTGATGACCAGAAGTCATTTTCACTTAGCTGGTTTGCCATCTGAATCATCCATTCACTACTTTTCTTGTTATTCCATTCTACATGCACTATTGTGTTTTTTGAAAGTTCTTATTATCGATTTACTTTTTAATCATTTTTATCATTACTATATACTGTGACAGTAGGCAGGTGAAATCACCTGGTTGCGTCCTGGATGGACGATACATATGTCCGAGGTTCAGGCTTTATGGGGATTTGTAATGTACAGTGCTGAGCGAACTATTGGCGCTTTATAAATACTGTATAATAATAATATTAATAATTTGTTCCACTAGAGGGAAGTGCTGAGTCCTTCAGCACGGAGGTAATGAGCCCAGCCGAAGGTAGTGGGCTCATTAAAACCTGTATAAAACTTCCCAGAGTGCTTAGGGAGTTGCTCCACCCTGGAACCAGATCCATGCCTGAGCTGTCTGGGGAGCTCCATACTTATCTGTGTGCAGGGAGACCAAAGCCTGTGTGGCCGGCCTCCAGTACTAGCGACTAGGCATAGCAGCAGGCTAGTGGGTAGGTAGGGAAACGTGGTTGTTGCAGTAAGTAGCCGAGTTGGCCAGGATTTATTTTGATGTTTCTTTTTGGTTTGCCTTTTTGTAAATATTGTAAATAAATTGCACCTGTTTGCTTTTCACCTCCACTGTGGTTGTGCCGTGCCTGGTTTTTTTTTTTTGTGTTGTGCACCCATCCAGGGGGTCACACACACCCCACTGCCGAGCGAACCCCGTTACAATACATTGAGCGCTGCATACTTGTTATTATTATTATACTTTTTGAGGATTTGGAGGTTTTTTCCTTTATGCCAGCAGCTTTTCCCATATCGTGCGCTCACTCTAATCCTGTGTTGTTTAAATGATGATCCACTGACCTTTTACATAGAGGCAGTTCCCCTTTTATCTCTTTTGTCCATCAGAGGGCGATTCCTCCGAAAAAGCCCCGGAAAACCTGGCCAGCAGCATTAACCCTTACCTCTCGGAGCACCACTTCTGCTGGGCAACATTAACACCTGACCTGAGAGACAGCTACACTGCAATTCCTTACCGAGGACCTGCTTACATGTACACCTGTGCAAGACTGAAGGGGAGGAGCCGGTACACCTGTGCAACACTGAAGGGGAGGAGCCGGTACACCTGTGCAAGACTGAAGGGGAGGAGCCGGTACACCTGTGCAACACTGAAGGGGAGGAGCCGGTACACCTGTGCAACACTGAAGGGGAGGAGCCGGTACACCTGAGCAAGACTGAAGGGGAGGAGCCTGTACACCTGTGCAAGACTGAAGGGGAGGAGCCTGTACACCTGTGCAAGACTGAAGGGGAGGAGCCGGTACACCTGAGCAAGACTGAAGGGGAGGAGCCGGTACACCTGTGCAAGACTGAAGGGGAGGAGCCGGTACACCTGTGCAAGACTGAAGGGGAGGAGCCGGTACACCTGTGCAAGACTGAAGGGGAGGAGCCGGTACACCTGTGCAAGACTGAAGGGGAGGAGCCGGTACACCTGAGCAAGACTGAAGGGGAGGAGTCGGTACACCTGAGCAAGACTGAAGGGGAGGAGCCGGTACACCTGTGCAAGACTGAAGGGGAGGAGCCGGTACACTTAAGCAAGACTGAAGGGGAGGAGCCGGTACACCTGAGCAAGACTGAAGGGGAGGAGCCGGTACACTTGAGCAAGACTGAAGGGGAGGAGCCGGTACACCTGAGCAAGACTGAAGGGGAGGAGCCGGTACACCTACGCAAGACTGAAGGGGGGGAGCCGGTACACCTGCGCAAGACTGAAGGGGGGGAGCCCGTACACCTGCGCCAGACTGAAGGGGAGGAGCCCGTACACCTGCGCCAGACTGAAGGGGAGGAGCCCGTACACCTGCGCCAGACTGAAGGGGAGGAGCCCGTACACCTGCGCCAGACTGAAGGGGAGGAGTCAGCACACCTGTGCAAGACTGAAGGGGAGGCGGAAGGGAGGATTTAAAGCAGAGATCTGTAAAGATCCAAAATGCACAAATGTTCGCCTCTCTAATCAATAATACGTTATTAAATATACTTTTTTATTAAATCAGTGTAAACTGAATGTGACCCAGTATCAGCTTCTTACAGTCACAGTACAGCAGAGCTCAAATTGGGAGAGGAAACAGCAGGACAAGGATGCAATCAGGTGCACTGCAGTGCAAAGAGCATGCTGATAGGAGAGATCAGTGAGAGAGATGAGCGTATTACTTTTCCTTCTACTGTCTAGTCACAGGGTGGGGGGTGGGGACCTGTGAGTGAAAGTGAAGCTGCAGAAGAGAAAGATCAGGTTTCCTGCCCTGGCAGACATGGCGGTGCTGTGTGACTCTGGAACTGGATGGACATAAACCCTTTTTCAGCTCTCATATGTCTATGTTATGGGTCTATCATTTTTTTTACTGGAATTCAGAATTCAGACATGGCCTCAATGTCACTCCGGTGTATTCTGCTGAACCAACAGGAAATATAAATACAGAGAAGACAACTTTAATGATTAATGTGCAGAACCCCCCAAAAGTGCCAACAATATAGAAATGGCGTCTTCCCCAAATCACAGAGATCTTCACCAATGCTCTGCGACAACCCTGACAACATGGCAGACATAGTGGTTAGTATCTGGTGTTGTGGGGGTATCCCGCTGCAACAGTACAAGACCACATATGTGAGCGCTGGAGCTTTCAGCGCTTTTATTGGATAAATCGCACCATTTTCATGGCACAGGCAGAGTCCTTCCCTGCAGTGGCTTTAGGGAGACGTTTCTGTTGAGGAGGGAAAGTTGTTCCCTTTCAGTGTGTCTCCTCTGTCAGCTTCCTGGAACTGATGTCTGCAGGGACATTTGAGGATCACACTGTGGCCGGCTGTATCACAGTCCCTCCTAGGAAGGGGCTCCTCCGGCATCCTGTGGTCTGTATGTGCTGAACACCTTACTATTGGATAAACAGCGCCCTCTTCTGCTTGAAGACATGTGTGACCTGCAACATAGGTGGTGCTATATCTGTAAACGCCTCATTTCTGATCAATTTCTACAATATAAATAAAGCTTAAGTATCTGTGTGCATTTACTCCATTCTCAGGTACACTGACCAGGCTCCACCCACAACTGGACCTCAGCACCTGTTTTACCCTTTAAATTAGGGATGCACCGATACCTGAAGTGATGTCAGCATAGAGAGGGTTACATTCCCCCACATGGCGCCGGTGAGTGCCTACATGTCCCTCGCTGACTGGTGCATGTCTGTTGGGGAGTCCCGGGCCTCGCTGCACTTCTGGCAGTTCTGTTACATGTCCCGAAACAATAGGTATCGGCACTCATACTTTTTGTCTTACATTGGTATAGTGCATCCCTACTTTAAGTGGTGCACCCCCACAATGAAGCCACATCTATTATGGAAATGGGGCGCAGCTCTGACTGGCTGCAGCTTCTAATGCACATTGTGAGAAGCTCCCAGTGTGCGGTGACATCAGAGTAACCAACGGAGGAGCAAGACGGAGGACACATGCACAAGACTGGAGGGGAGGAGCCGGTACACCTGCACAAGACTGGAGGGGAGGAGCCGGTACACCTGCGCAAGACTGGAGGGGAGGAGCCGGTACACCTGCGCAAGACTGGAGGGGAGGAGCTGGTACACCTGCGCAAGACTGGAGGGGAGGAGCCGGTACACCTGCGCAAGACTGGAGGGGGGATAGAGGGAGGATTAAGCTCAATGTATGCTACATATCAAATTATAAATCAGTTTTCTTGGGAAAATAAAAAAAGGACTCTTTTTGTAATAAAATGTTTAATGTATCCGTAATTTCCATTAAAAAGAAATTGTACACAAAATAAAAAGAGGAGTTCTCCTCCTAAAACAGAAAACTCCAGTTTGTTGCATGTAGCAGATTTGTAGCACCAATATTCCCAGACACTGAAGACGGGGGGGGGGGGGGGCGATTATAAAAATATTGCTATGCAAATGCCTTAAACATTCAGTCATCAGAAATAATTGCTGTAATGTGATCTAATGTTTATTTCCTATGACTGTCAGCTCCATCTAGTGGCTGAAATGTGGTATTTTTCTGGTGGCGATATTTCCGGAAATCCCACTAGATGAAAGGAGCAATGAAAGGAATTAAAGTATACATTTTGCAGTGATTATTAGTGAGGGCGGTGTGGGACCCCAGAGTGAGATCATGACAAATTTCAAATAGGTAGAATCGTTTATAGGTGGTGCTCAGTCATACATGAACATAAAAGTATAAAATCTTCATAGAACTAGGAGGCTATAAAAATGTGAAATTCCCATAATGGCCACTTCCAGCCAAAGCTGATATTTCAGTTCTGAGTGGATCACCTGCAGACTCTGCCGCCACTTCAGCCATTTCCAAGTCTGCAATGATCTCTATTGGCTAATCTGAACATTAGGAGGAGATCCGAGTCCTAGAGAGATGAATGAACTGAAATATCAAGTTTTGGATGGTGTCACCCTCTACAGGGTGCGTTCAGCTGGGTGGATCCAGTCAGCGCTCAGAGGATGACGCAGCAGCAAGTGGAGGGATAATCCTTCGTCTCCACCAGATTCTCCCGTCCGTAGACAAAGTAGCTGCAGCTCTTCTCCTTCCAGTTGTACTCCACCTTGGTGAGGGGCAGCCACTCTATGGACTGTTTCTGGGGACACAGAGAGGAGATGTTAGGAGTGACAATCCCATCGGTCACCACAATGCTGTACACTGTCAAAGCTCATCACTGCGGGGTCTGCTTATAGAAATATTGCTGTGAATGCCTCAGTATTCCTCCAGCTATCCTGACCAATGTGCCTGAGGAGTCCATTTCCTGTGACGTCGCCTCCATTTGGAGGACACATTGCCTTACTTTCCTGAAAAACCTCAGCCAAGAAAATACTACATTATGGCCACTAGATGGAGCCGATGATCATAGCAAATACACCTATTACACAGAATACAGGGAGTGATCTTAACCCTCTAACTGCCACTTCTGCTGGTCAGCTTGGTCTGTACAACATGATCCAAACAAATCTTTATTTTCACTGAGAGATGGGCAAATAACCTCACAATCGCCAACACCTCTGCCATTTAGAGGAAGCCTTGTATTCATCCATATAAAGCCTCCTGTGAATGGCTGAGCAGCGTCTGGCCAGATTCGAGACACACGACTTACTGGCAGGATCGCCTGATAAACAAAAAAAGCTAAGCAAAGATACAGAAAACAAATGCAGCCACCACAGCTAGGAACTGGTAAGTTGCAATATATGACATTTGATTTTGTGTTTAAAAACAGCTTTAGACTAATAGAATAATAAAAACAAAATAAACAGCAAGTAAAGGGTAGAATGTGCTGTCTGCACATAGTCTGCACTTATGAGAGACCTGCCTGAAAATGAAGCCGCTGACAGGGCCTTCCACCTTCACCTGGTCTTCCTTCCAGGTTCCTGGGCTGCAACTGTCTGAATGGCCGAGCCGCGATGACATCACACCCACACATGTACAGGGAGTCAGACACAGCACACCGTCCATTGAGAGTGCAGTGCGCATGCACTGGTGACACCACCGGCACTGCTCAAGTCAATGTCTCCATTCATGATCAGGAGATTGCACCTACAGCTAAGTCTTCTTATTGTAGATGAGGAATTTACTACCACTTTAACAATGGCGATCGCCTGCACTGCCATCCGAATTCACTTCTCCATTTTATTTCAACATTAAAAATACTTGTAATGGTAAAACCTTCACACCTCAGCTGAACTCCGGCCACAATGAACAGCCACGAAAGGCCATCAATCCACTTTGTGAGCTCTGAATGCTTTTACAACCCCAGATATTACATTGTAAAAATAGTTTACAATCACTCTGCTGTACATAGCCTGAGCTGTGGAGGTGTCCAGCAGGCTCCACCCACTACAGAAGGGGGTGGAGACAAGACCAGTCCCCCTGCACAAGGAGAGAGCAGCAGTGAGCGGTCTTTATTCCAGGAAGTCTCATCCTGGATGACTACACAGATCTAGAAGAAGATTCCGGAAGAAGTCACATGACCGATGATTTTATTATCATGGAGTTCTGATTTCAAGTGCTCTGTACATGTGAATGAATCATTGCACCCCTCAGGATCCAGAAATAACAGGTAAGTGGTATCTCTGTACTTACCTGCTTCAGTATCCGGCAGCTGGAGATGAACTGGGAGTAATGCTGCTGGACGGCCGTCTGAGACGCCTGATTGATGGACGCTTCAGGGAAATTCACCAGAGGCGGCACCTACATCAACAGAAAAATCCAAAATCATTCCCAGAACACAAATGGAGGAAAACCTTCACAGGATGGAATGAGAGCGATGGCGCCCTCCTATACACATCTACTAAAAGCCGGCCATACAGACATTGCAGTACAACGGCCCCAATGGAGGGATAAAAGGAGAAGTTCACCTTTTAACCAAAAATAACACAAAAATCACACTTTTTTTTTTTTTTTTACCTGCAAAAAGTGCATTTACTATTTTTTGTTTTGGGAGCCTAGAAAGCATTGCACCAGCGATCAGCACTGACAGGAAGAATCTATTATTATTATTGGGGATTTATGTCGTGCCAACAGTCTGCACAGAGCTTTACAAAATATGAAGGGAGACCTTACAATACAACAAAACACAAGAGTGTTAGGAGGGCCGTGCTCATAGGAGCTTGCAATCAAATAGGGTGGGGCAAGTGGCACAAAAGGTTATAACTGTGGGGGAGGAGCTAATTAAATGGATACAAGTTCTGTTAGTTGGAGGAGGGTAGGCTTCCCTGAAGAGAAGCTGCCAGAGTCGGAGATAGCCAGACAGTTTGAGGTAGAGCGTTCCAGAGGATGGGAGAGGCACTGGAGAAGTCCAGGAGACAAGCATGGGAGGAGGGGACAAGGGAGCTAGAGAGCAGGAGACCATGATAGGAGCGGAATGTGATATTTGGACACAAGTATTTTGAATTTAATTTGCTGGGCAATCGGAAGCCAATGGAGGGATTGGCAGAGAGGGGTGGAGGACTCTGAATGGAGGCTTGTGGAAGGATTGGCAGAGATGGGTGGAGGATGCTGAATGGAGGCCAGTGGAGGGATTGGCAGAGAGGGGTGGAGGACCCTGAATGGAGGCTTGTGGAAGGATTGGCAGAGATGGGTGGAGGATGCTGAATGGAGGCCAGTGGAAGGATTGGCAGAGATGGGTGGAGGATGCTGAATGGAGGCCAGTGGAGGGATTGGCAGGGAAGGGTGGAGGACGCTGAATGGAGGCCAGTGGAGGGATTGGCAGGGAAGGGTGGAGGACATGGATCGGTTGGTTAGGTAGATATTTCTGGCAGCATGAGAAAGGAGTTGCAATAGTCAAGGAAATAAATAACAAGGGAGTAAATGAGTAGCTTGGTGGTTTCATAAGTTAAAAAGAGGCGAATTTTAGAATTGTTACGGAGGCGATGTCTACAAGCTTTTGACAGCGATTGGATTTGGTGCTGAAGGGTCAGAGTCCAGGATTACACATAGTACACTGGTGTGAAGAACTGATCACTGCATTATTGATCTTGATGGAAAAGTCATGCAGGAAACATGAGTGGAAAATTATCAGCTCGGTTTTAGAGAGATTGAGTTTGAGGAAGTGGTGCGACATCCATGCTGATATGTCAGTTAGTAGTGCGAGAGGAGGCTGAAGGAGTGAGGTGAGGAGTAGAGAGAAAAAAAAAAAAAAGGTACCAGGGGCATCTCATGGGGCCCCCTACTGATCCTGGGCCCTAGGGCAGTGCCTGTGTTTCCAAATGGTCAGTCCGCCCCTGGTAGTAAGAGTTTGGTGTAGGGGCCATTGGTTTTATCAGTTAGTAAAACATTAGTGAGATTAGTAGGACAGTTTCTCTGGAGTACTGTGGGCAAAAGCCAGATTGTAAGGGGTCAAGAAGGTTGATGTCAGTGAGCTTGGACTATTGTAGATTAAGCAATTTTTTCATAGGTGAATGGGAGCAATGAGATGGGTCTTAAGTTGCTCATGTTGGTGGGATCTAGTGAGGGCTTTTCAAGTATAGGGAGTGATCTGGGGAGGGGGAAAGTGCCAGTAGATAGGGAGAGACTGGAGATATGAGTGAGATCATAGGACAGAAGAGGAGGGTAACCGTAGTATTCGTGAGGGAACAGCATCTAGGGGACAGTTGGTTGGGGGGGGGGGCATCTTAGAAAAAAGAAAAAAGTTAGTTATTCAACATCAGATATAGCTGGAAAAAGAAAATATCTTACCAATAGCTGCTCATCCACAAAGATTTTGTCGCCAGTCACCTTCTTGAACAGGTCAGTGGGGAATTCGGAGTGGTGGTCAGGTATGAACTCATACAGGTTGTTCTTCCTGCAAAATAAAATATCAAATCCTTATCCTGTTGTGAAAGTAAAAGGAAAGTTCCATGTACAATCTTCAGTTCTATACTACACCCACACGTGTCAACCCACACCCCTCTTCTAGCCTCCAAGGAACAGAAGCAGAGAGATTTTAACAGTTGGGATTCCACAGACCCCCATGGGTCTACATATTGCTACACAGAGTGTTGTATACTCACCATGTGACAGTCAGCTCGATGTAGGAGATCACTTGCCCCTTCCCAGTACAGCCAGGGCAGGTCTGCACGTTTGTCTGGTTGCAGCCGTTGCATCTGTTCCCAGAACAAAATATGGTGAAAGAATTAAGGCTGAACAGATGTTTTTGGAATTTTTACCAGGCAATTTAGTAGAGGAGTCTATGTACAGCAATGTGTTTAGAGTTGAGTAGGAAAGGGTTAGAGACCATGTGGTTTTATATTTTGCTCCTGCCTGGAAGGAAGTTTTGGGTATTAATTTTATTATTTATTGTAGGTTTAACTTAAAAAATGAACTTTTACAAGCTTTCAATTTTGTTTTCATTATAAAAGATTTACAGATTAGCCCCTAGAGTCAAATATCTGTTTTCTGAAGTCATTTGGCATTTCTCTTCACAACGGTTCAGATATCAGCTGCACAGAGGGTGCATGGGTTTCTAGTTTGCTGGACCATGCTTGCAATGGAAGGATGACCGTAAAACTCAACCACAGTGAGCAGAAAGCAGAACCCACCTATATAATGTGAACGGCCCCCTAAAGTAAACAGACCCTTACTAAATTAGATGTCTACCATGGTCCCTTTTCATTGACTCTTTGGGCATTCTACAACCTACAAACCACATGATTTGGGTCAGTCTGCCACTTTCTGCCCCTCACACCCAGCTACTGGTTACGGAGCTCTCACCACATTTCAGGGCAGGAGAGGAGGAGGGAAAGTTGGATAAAGTCAGAACTCAAAGTCTGTATACTAGCTGAGTCAATGATTTCTGCAAACTTCTGCAGCCGCCAAAAAAGGTATTTTCAAAAGGAATTCAACAATGTTTCTTCAGAATAGGTTTACCCTAAAAGTGGCCCATTGCAAATGTCCTGCGAAGTATAACTACCTATCTAGCAGCCCGTCTCCTACTGGCTTCAGCTTTGTAGCCTCCAGACTGTTCAGCATACAAGCTGTCTGGGAGGAATGCCTGTGTCCCTGCCGCATGCTGTCGTTCCAACCATTGACCCTTCTACATCAATACAGGATTCTGTAGTAATGTGGGGGATAGGAGAGCCACAGCAAGCAGCAAGGGAATAGGATACCCCTGAAGTGTCAAAGTGTGGGACATGGATGGAGGCTACATTGCTGAACAAGGGACGTTAGTCATGGCCGCCAGAGTGATGTTTTACATTAGAATTTCTTCAAAATTATGTTGCATTTTATGAAAAGATTAAAAAAATTAAAAAACTCACAGTAACAGTGACAATTACAAAGTTATTTTAGGACATACAGATGGGGCATAGCACCCATCGCAGACCCTCTTCACCAGCTGTACGGTCACATTGGATTGCCACCTTGAAGCACAGAACACATGCACTCCCAATGCTTTCTGTCCCAACACTTACCCTTCTGACCCAGATCCATTGCAGTGTGAACATTGTTCTCCAGAACTGCGTCCAGACCCATTACAGTGCCCACACTTTACCTGGAGGAAAGACGAAATACACAACAATGAATCATTGGTGAGGTTTACTTCTTGCAGGTACAAGCTCCATTTATTGAATATGTAATTAATTTATGAAAGCAGCCTAGTATTTTTCTTTTCCTCCATGGACCCACATGCGTTCAAAGAATATACGGAGAAAAAATTAAGACTGTCCATGAGATGCAAATTCCTCAGAGTATTCAGATTTGGTTGTCTGCCAGACCTAAGGCGTAAAGGGACGCCAAAACCAAGACTCTCCCCCCCCCCCCATATGTGGTTAGACTCCCATATCTTTGTCACATTATCAGTTCTGGGACAGAAAATGCTCTTCAAAACAATCCAACAACCTGCCAAAACTCCAACCCTCTTTTTGGGACTCAAGTGAGGAGAGTTAAGAACCTTGAAGATTACCAATAAATTCCATATTGCTGTTCTGCCCAAGCTGGTGGCATTTCTCTTTACATAGAAAGCCTGACTTTGTATCCAAGAAAAGGGAATTAGAAAGGTGATTGTACAATTCCTCAATGGTCCTTGAATGTTGATCATTATCATGCAGCACTTTGTAAACAGGACCGGGATGGTTCAAAAGCTAAACAAGAACAAAAAAAGTAGAGAACAAGGTACAGGGACCTCCATGGGTTATAAACATCTGAAAGTTTGTTGAAGAATAGGAAAACTAAACTCACAATGGAATCTAAGTGGAAATGTTAGTTGGCTTGGCAAAGGGAGAAAAGCCCCAGAAATGCATGTCATAGCAACCTTCAACCCTGGAGTAAAGGGTCACCCTGAGCTGCGAGAACATCACCTCTCTTTAATGGCATCCGATGGAGATCCACCTAGGAGTTCCTCCATCCACAGCTTTGCCGCTGTCCATGGAGACCTGTTAAAGGACATCTGCTCCATGCTTGTGATCGGAGTGCCCCCTTTTCACATTGTGAGTGCAGCTTTACTGTTCTTCAAAACCTTGGAGGCTTTTGACAATTTCCTTCACTCCTGTCCTCATGACAGTAAGAGGTGACAAAAAAAAAAAAAAAAAAAAAAACTCATAGTAGCAGAGACTTGCTAGGTGTCCCAACCTCTCCACATTTGTGGAGTGTCACTTTACGTATTGCATCTATTCCATTTGTTTTATCTCAATAATGGTATAGCGATACAATTTACATCAACAATTGCGGTTACAATGTTTTCACCAGAACTATGGGATTTACCCGTCCATTTCCATTACACTTCTGACAGATGATCTTCCCCTTTCCATGGCACTCTTCACATTCCTGGAGGAGAAGAACGAAGATAGACGGGTCAATGTAATAAAACAATTCTTTAGAAATCTGAATTCATGAGCAGCAATAAGTATCAGAATTAAAGAGTTAGACATGGTAAGTGACAACTGGACAAAGAAAGATTTGTTAAATTTTTCTCAAAATGTTTTTCTGGGACCTGGCTCCATGCATCTATTTCTCACCTAGACGAGAATGGCGCCCCCTGCAGACAGGCACACATACAGTCTCCCAGTAGTCCATAGATAGATGAGATCTATGAAAAATTGCCTCTAATTGGAAAATCCATTTGGTCTCCAATTGGAGAAGATGTTTATCAACGTCACCCCTCTTAGAGAATGTTGTACATGTTCCAGAGCAAAAAATGAATATAAAAAAAAGGTTAAAGCTGTGGTATAGGCCAACATGGTGTTCACTGTTGCCCATTTGCTTTTGTAGGTACATTTGCTGGCTGAGCATCCCTATCTTATTGGGACTTCCTTCCATTTTTGGCGTTTAGGTGGGAGACGTAGCTCATTGTGAAACAACCGTTGACCTTGATTAATTTAGGAGTCAACGCTATCTGCTATCTTTTTATACAGGTAGTATTATGGACTTTATCTGACTAGGATAAATCGGTCTGTGCGCTCAAACACACATGTGGTATTTTAGCTTCCCTGTATGATTATATTATAGTATCCCCCTTTTCATGTAGGTGGTGTATAAATAAGGAGCACTACTTTCTCCTCCCCTCTGTGTGTTATACTTGGTCACCCTAGGCTGGATCCCTAGTGCCAATTACATCTTGGTTCAAGCTTTGACCCTCCACGCTGATTGACACACTGGGGTGAATTTTACTAAAACCGGTTCATTCAGAATCTGGTGTAGCTGTGCATGGTAGCCAATCAGCTTCTAACCTCAGCTTGATGAAACTTTGTCAACAAACCCTTGAAGCGGATTGGTTTCTATGCAGAGGTGCAGCTGATTTTGCACTCTCCAGCTTTAGTAAATAAACCCCACTGTGTGAGGTGGTTTTACCGGAATCAGCCTTGTTCTCCTTATTTGGGTATTTTTGTTGGATTTTGTTTTGTGCAAGACTTGTTTGTAATAGAAAATCAGCAATTGGAATGCGCTAAAATATATCAAAATTAATATCACAAATATGTGTATAAAAGTCCCAACATTATAAATACAAAAAACTTTTCAGTGAAAATAATCCATAAGTTTCGTGCATATAAGTGTATAGAAGAAATGTCCAACACCCCAAAACAGAAAATTTTCTTCTTTAAACATGTAATTCCACCGTGCTTTATCCACCACCAAATGAATGGAATAATAAACTCACCAGAGCTCAATGCTGATTAGATTATAAATCAGCACAAGCGCGTTTGCTCTGGGAGCGATGAATAAGTAGATCATGAAGCAGCACTCTATAGTATAGACACTTCCAGATAGCAGGAACAATACTCTGCAGTGATATTGAGGTATAGCCAAGACTCCTTATAAAACGATCATCCTCCAAATGTATAGTAACATCACTCAAAAATAAAGAAAAGGCATGATGGTGCAGCAAGTAAGAACCATTAAAACTTTTATTTCAATCGCATCCTACTCACAAAATAAAGTGTCCACCTGACACTGGTATAGCAAACGATCAGATATACGGGATGGACGAGCGTTCACCGCGGACACCTCGCCCTATGCGTTTCGTCACTCTGACGTCCTCACGGAGCGGCATGGATCAAGACGTCAATGCAACCGATATATTTTAGCGCATTCCAATTGCTGATTTTTTTTATATTTTACCAATATTTTGGGTTAAAGGTTTGCCGCTGGAGAGGATTGATACTATTGATTGGCGCTTTCTTTTTTTGTTTTCTGACGGAGCTTATTGGATGACGTCAGGACGTTCCCTGGAGCTGTCGGCGAGGTGTCCGCGGTGAACGGGGCTCGTCCATCCCGTATATCTGATCGTTTGCTATACCAGTGTCAGGTGGACACTTTATTTTGTGAGTAGGATGCGATTGAAATAAAAGTTTTAATGGTTCTTACTTGCTGCACCATCATGCCTTTTCTTTATTTTTGAGTGATGTTACTATACATTTGGAGGATGATCGTTTTATAAGGAGTCTTGGCTATACCTCAATATCACTGCAGAGTATTGTTCCTGCTATCTGGAAGTGTCTATACTATAGAGTGCTGCTTCATGATCTACTTATTCATCGCTCCCAGAGCAAACGCGCTTGTGCTGATTTATAATCTAATCAGCATTGAGCTCTGGTGAGTTTATTCCATTCATTTGGTGGTGGATAAAGCACGGTGGAATTACATGTTTAAAGAAGAAAATTTTCTGTTTTGGGGTGTTGGACATTTCTTCTATACACTTATATGCACGAAACTTATGGATTATTTTCACTGAAAAGTTTTTTGTATTTATAATGTTGGGACTTTTATACACATATTTGTGATATTAATTTTGATATATTTTAGCGCATTCCAATTGCTGATTTTTTATATTTTACCAATATTTTGGGTTAAAGGTTTGCTGCTGGAGAGGATTGATACTATTGATTGGCGCTTTCTTTTTTTGTTTTCTTGTTTGTAATAGAAGTTTGTTATTCTTAATATGGTTTATTCTGTATATTGTCATTTTACTTTCAGCAGCCATCTTCACACTGCACCCCCTTCCTGAGATATATACATATACTTTGTTGCTATTGGCATTAACTTGTATATCATACCATATGATGAAACATGTGAGGTTGGGTAGTGCCTTTCTGGAGGTACTGTGCAGTTAATGATGGTTTGCTTCATTTTAACTTTTTTTTTGTCTGGGGAATTTTGTTACCCTAAAATATTTTAAGGGTTTTTTTGTAATAAAATTATATGATCTTATATTTATGTGTCTGGTAAATTCTGAGAGAAGGGGTCAGCACTGTTAAAATCCCAATTCTTTTTCTTCATGATTTTTCATACATTGGGGATGTGGTGGCTGAATAACCACCTGGACCTATGTTTTTCTTTATTTGAATCAGATAGAAGATCGATCACATCCTCCGCCACCACCTTGTGTCTGTACTTTCCTCTGTAGGGAAGACTCCTTACCTTCTTGGAGGAGGTGTGAGGTATCGGCTGTTTTTTGATTTCATCGTGGAAGAGGGCCGGAGGTTCCATGATGATCTCCCAGGGCTGAGGAGCCGGACCATTGGATGGACCATCCAGTTTCTCATCTGCAGGAAGATGAATACATGTTCTTCAGTTTACAGACAACTCTCATAATTTTGAAGATCTTTCACCAAACCACATTACATTTCAGCTACTGCTCTTGTGATTGGCTTACTGGTATCTGCAGAACAGCAACTGCTAAAAGTCTCACAATTATATAGTTTCACCTTAAAGGATAAGTTCACTTTTTGGACAAAAATAATAAATGCACATTTTTTTTGCAGGTAAAAAAAAAACAAAAAAACATTTCTTATTTTTGTCCAAAGGAATCTGTAAAGCATTGCACCAGCGATCAGTAGATTGCTGAAGCCATGCAGGTCTCCTGCAGACCTGTCAGAATATCTGCTTGCCGTATGGGATGTATGAGAAAGCAGATCTACTGACAGGAAGCTTCAATGAACTACCAAGGCGCTCCACTATGCGCTCCCACATGGCCACGCCATTTTCAAATCTGATATAGTAGGGAGAAACTTCTCCCTGTGCTGTCAGAGGGAGAGGGCGGTGGGCACTGCTGTGGCTATGGGAACATGTTCCAAAGCTGAACTTATCTTTTTAAGAGGATACTCCTTCAAAAATTTTCCCAAATCTCTTCCAGGCCCAGACTCTGGTCCTCATCCCACACATGGGATATGGGTATGAAAAAAAAGGTAATTAATAAAAAAGAAAAATAATTTTCGTGCCCTACAGCACCCAGACTTCCGGTACTATACTACCTGCCCAAAATAGACAAGAACCCCACTAAACCTCCAGGAAGGCCGATTTGTGAGTGGGATAGGTTCCCTCTGTTCGAAGGTTGGAGAATATATTGATCACTTTCTACATTCACTGATGGTACAAACACCTGCGTATCTTAAAGATACCAAGCAGGTACTTAATGAGGTGAAGGATTTAACAATAGCATCAACCACCTTTTTAGTCACTGCTGATGTGGCATCACTCTATAGCAATATGAACCATGAAGATGCCATGCAAGCAGCTGATTTTTACCTAAGTAACACTAATACAATTACCATCATCCAAAAAGAACTACATCTTGGAATTACTACAATTTGACATGGACAGGAACTACTTTTCTTTGTAAATAATATTGCTTATCAAACCAGGAGTAGCCATGGGGGCTAAGTTTGCCCCCAGCCTTGCAAATCTCTTCATGGCAAGATGGGAAGAGGAAATGATATATGTGAGAGATTGGCCCGAATTAATACTCTACAAAAGATACATTGATGACACCTTTCTTCAATGGCAGGGCAATGAGCAAGCACTCAATTTTTTTCGAGACTCTAAATAATAACCTCAACAATAACCTTACCTACACATACAGCACACGAGAAATTATTTTTTTTAAATTTAACCTTTGTGATGGGAGTCATTTTGGGTGGTGGACCCATGGAACACAGCTCACTTTGGAGGGGTGGGGGAGACCCCTGCCTCGGCTCCCCATATCCCTCCTATGTGCAAGTCACCCTGTGCCTGTTAGGGTTACAGGGTGGAATGTCCTGATATTGTGTAGACATGTATAGGTGGGGGGGGGGGTTGTTCATTGTTTACTGCCATGTGGTGCATCCCATTGTTCTATTGTGTCTTGCTTGGGAGCAATCTATTATGGGATGTATGTGTTTGTATTGGCTTGGTGGGGGGGGGGGTGTCTGCCTATGTGTCTCTGGTTGCTAGATTTGGTTTGCCCCGCCCTGTGTCCACATGCAGGGAGGGGGGTTGTTCCCTTAAATGTTTTATATCTTGTGTGTGTTAAAATAAAGCAGTCTATTTCCTGGTTTCCTTCAAGTCTGGTGGTCTCTAGTGTTTGGTCAGCGGTGGGGTCAGTGGTCGGTGTTCAGACAGGAAAGCGTGAGTCTACCTAAGTGTAGTCGGGGTCCGGTTCCGTTACAACCTTGACTAACCAAGAGGGTAAGATCCTTACCAAGTCATTTTTCAAAAATACAGATCACAACAGTTATATCCCAGTGGATAGCTGTCACCACCCCTCATGGCTGTCTAATATTCCTAAGGGGCAGTTTATGAGGATCAGGAGGAACTGCATGAATACAAGCACTTATTATTCCCAGGCCTTGATCCTCAAACATAGGTTCATGGAAAAAGGTTATGATGAGCCTACATTGAGCAATATAATGGATACTGTGGCCAATATGAATAGAGATGATATGCTCAAAGTTACTGAAAGACAAGGACACACTAAATTCTGCCCGTTTAGAACAACATTCTCTATATAACAGAAGGCCATCAGCAGGATTATCAATAAGAATTGGGGGATTTTAAAAACAGATCCAGTCCTTTCACATATACCACCAGCAAAACCTGAGATCATATTCCGCAAGACAACGGCGCCCAGGAATAAAATAGCACCTAATGTAGTTGACCCGCCAACAACTACGTCCTTTTTCTCTGAACTTAAAGGGTTTCTCCCTTGCAACAAATGTATAATTTGCCGATGTAATAATCACCAGCCGTCACCTCCACAACCTGAACCCGGCCTATCGCCACTCGGCAGCTGACCTCTGTAGGACAGTATCCTTCCACTATCATGCCCTGAACTAGCCACTACTGCGTACGACGACTCACTGTCAGCTGCCCGAAACTCCCTGGCACCCCTAACCATGCGTAACATCAGACCCCGACAGCTTCAACCCTGGCAGAACGACCATACAAAATGTCTCAAATGACGCAGTCGCGCGCTGGAGCAATTATGGCGCAAAACCAGATCCCCTCATGCGTTCTCCCTCTACAAAGCCTCCACCTGTCCTCGCCGGCTCTTCTGCACTTTCAAATCCCTGCTCTCTCCCCCACCTCCACCCAGTACCTCACTCACCGCCCACGAGATTGCCAAACCGTTTCCATAACAAGATCAACACAATCCGCAAGGACATTGTAAATTCACAATCTACCTCTCCACCCAGCCCCCCGCCCTCCATCATCCCCTCAACTCTCCCCTCACCATACCAAACGCCCCGCATACTATAACCTCCCCAACACTCTGCTCCTTCAGCCCTGCTACCACTGAGGTCACTAAAAGGTCTTCACTGAAGCCCGCCTCACCACTTGCCCCCTGGACCCTATCCCCTCACAACTCCTCCAGTCACCCCCCTCCTCCATCATTCGCTCCCTCACCCACATCTTCAAACTCTCCCTCTCTACTGGCGCATTCTCCTCCCCCCTAAAGCACGCACACATCACCCCCATACTCAAAAAAACCCTCCCTTGACCCCACTGACCTAAACAACCTTAGACCCATCTCCCTGCTGCCATTCACTTCCAAGCTCCTTGATCGCTTAGCCTACATACGCCTAAGCGCCCACCTCACTGATAACCTCCTCGATCCACTACAGTCCAGCTTCTCACCCCTGCACTCCACCGAAACCGCCCTACTCAAAATCACTAATGACCTGCTAACCGCCAAAGCTAATGGCCACTACTCAGTCCTCTTACTCCTCGACCTTCGACAAGAGTCGACCACCCCCTCCTCCTTAATAAACGGCACTCCTCTGGCATCAGGGACGCTGCTCTCCTGGCTCTCCTCCTTCCTATCCCAACGCTCCTTCAGCGTTACCTATAATGCTGCCACCTCCCCCTCTCTGTCGGAGTCCCCCAAGGCTCTGTCCTCGGGCCCCTTCTCTTCTCCATCTACACCTCCTCCCTTGGCCAACTGATACACTCCCACGGCTTCAACTATCACCTCTCTACGCCGATGACACACAAATTTACCTCTCCACCCCTCACCTCATCCCCTCACTCTCCGCCCGCATCGATATGTACATTCCTCACCCCAGACACTACTAAAGAACTCGTACACTCCCTCATCATCTCACGCCTGGACTACTGCAACTCCCTTCTCACTGGCCTACCCAAACAAACGCTATCCCCACTCCAGTCTATCCTGAACTCAGTGGCCAGACTCATCCACCTCACCAACCGCTCCACTTCTGCCACCCCCCTCTGCCAATCCCTTCACTGGCTCCTGATTACCCAACGCATTAAATTCAAAATTACTAACTCTGACATACAAAGCCATTCACAATGCTGCCCCAAACTACCTAACTGACCTGATACCCAAATACTACCCTACCCGTGCCCTTCGCTCCTCACAGGACCTCCTACTCTCCAGCTCCCTGGTCTCCTCCTCCCACGCCCGACTGCAGGACTTCTCCAGAACTTCCCCCATCCTCTGGAACTCCCTACCCCAATCCATCAGACTGTCACCTACCCTCCTCACCTTCAGGCGCACCCTGAAAACCCATCTCTTCAGGGAAGCCTACCCCACCCTCACCTAACAGCCGATCTCCTCCACTCCTCCTGCCACTCCATCCCCCACAGCCACTTCCTCCTGTACCACTATCCCCTCCCTCCTAGATTGTAAGCTTGAAAGAGCAGGGCCCTCGAACCCCTCGTGTATTGTACTTTGTCTCATGTTCTGTCCCCCTCGCTAATGTACAGCGCTGAGCAAACCCTTTGGCGCTAAACACTGTATTATAATAATAATGACAATAATAATAATAATAATGACAGAAAAAAGAAAATAGAGACTTTCATCCTCTATCACTGGTAGATCATGTAACATTTAGAATTTTATATCATGTAGGTGTTTTGTAGTATATATGCTTGAGTGTCCTTGTCGTAAGCAATACATAGGACGCACAAAAAGAGACTTGTATATATTATTAAAAAGGGGTTTCAGAGAACATTCCCTCTCGATACATTATAGATACCACACAAACAAAGACCCTTCCACACTGAACTTTGTGGGAATTGACACCATTCTAGCACACTGGAGAGGCACACACAAAAAGGAGAGTGATTTCACAAATTGAAACCAAGTGGATTTTTGAGATGGTTACACTTTATCCTGCAGGACACAATATAGATATTGACATTAATTGCTTTATCAACAATAGCTAATGATTGGTAGTCCTTATCGACATTTGTTTATATCTCCTTTCAGTAGTATATACCCCCTTTTTATCCACATCCCTCTTACCTCACTCTATTTTTCATCATTTTACTCATTTTTACCCGCTTTATTTATCTTGGAAGTTTTTATACTCATATACACTCCGTTAAGAGCATATATCCTTATCCCAATTTTTACATAGTCATATATTGAATATGACTTAAACCATTTTATATTCTCCATTTTTTTGGACACACTTTCTATAATATAAATTTTATTTATTTTCATATTTGTGTTGTTCTATTCTATACTAGTTGATTCCACATTTTATTACTAGTTGCAATTCTACCTATTATGTATTTTAGGTATATATTTTTACTTAGCATCTTATTAGAAGTTTATGATTTGTTAACTTTAAGCTATTATTGTCTTTTTTTAATTATGTTTTTTTTACCATGGATTCATCTCATTTCATCTTAGCTTTTGAATTAACATTTTTAATATTTTTATTATGATTATTAATCAGATTAATAATGATTCTATTCTATTTCCTATCAGTTAAGTGTCTTTATGCTCCCGTTTTATAGACACTCTGTTGGTATAATGTCTCCATGGCAACATGAATACTATTTACCTGTAGCTTATGTTTATGGCTATCAGTGCCAATATGTCAGTGGCCCAAACATAATCAATCATTTCTATAGTTTTATAAATCTTTTTCCGTAGTATAGTCTGTTCCACGGGGCTTTATACCCCCATCTTGTGACTTGTTTACATGATCTGCGATTGATCCATGGCAAAATGGCACCCGCACACGTTTTCACTCTACAACAATATGGTGCGTGCGTAATGCGCATGTGCCGTCTACTGTATATAAGGGAACAACAAACGTCATGGCGGTATTGGCAACCCCTTCTGAGGAAGTGCTTGACACGAAACACGGCAAAGAGGAGCCAATACGCCGTGACGTCATGCCGCCAGAGCCTCATGAAGGTCCGGGGGCCATCTTGCTTGGTGGACGGTCAGTCCCTTTCTGCAGCATTCTATGCTATTACTTGTATAATGATACTTTTAGCACGTGGATTCTCAATAAACCTATGTTTACAATACTGCACTATGGGCAATTCTCTGGCTCCACGTTGAGCTAAATTAATTTGCAGAGTCTACCCTGGAAGTTAGCTGCAGTATCCCACAGAATCCAGAGTAAGGAGTTTCCACTTCAGGGTGTAAACACCCATCCATCCTTTAAAAAAAGGGGACCTCTGGCAGGAATAGATCCTTGTACATCCAGGAAACATCCGCAGGGCTGCACACCATCCAGAGGGAGGAGTATCCATACCCGGCTTACCTCATCCATTCCATCCTTAAAGGGGACCTCTGGCTATACATATTACATGCGTTTTTAAAATACACATCTGGTGAGTGCGTATTTTTACCATACCTTTGTGCACATCACTGAATACTGGAGTAATCAGTTTTGATTGGCACCTTTGCATGAACTGTCACTTTTATGAACATTTAATAATTGAATATTATTTATTCCTATTTTATGATTCACATATCAGCATCTTGAATATCGGACAATATTTGATTATAGATTTTAGCGCTGCACCTTTTAGTTCCTATATATGTTGAGGTTTTATCTGGTTACCTTAGTGTGCAATAGCAGCTACTTTTAAGCGCTCGCTGATCTTATACTCATCCCACAAACTGCTGTACACCAATCAGAATCGAGATATTTCTAAATGCACATGACTTTCACAACACAGCACGCCATGACGCACAGTATACGTGTTCTGGTGCATTGCAGAGTGTTGGTAGCTACTCTTCAGCACAATAACGCTCCATGCACACAGGGTGTTTTCGGAGTTCCTAGGGGCCTCAGGCATTTTTTTTTTTTCTTGCCTCTAAAGTCTCCTGCATGTTATCCTAGGTGTCCATGCACACACAGACTTTTAGCAGCGTTAAGTGGCAGGAGGAAAGCCCTGTGCCAGTGCATCCAGGAGCAGCACAGTTTGGGCACAAAAACGCTTGTAAACATGCCTAAACTAAGCATTAGACGCTTTTAACAAGCATGGGGCGTTTGTTTCTGCAAACACGCTGCTGGCTTCTAGGAGAGTAAAAAATAAGTCCTGTGTGCATGAGGCCTCAGAGTTCCATTCATAAGGAGTGCCCCTGCAAAACACCTATAGAGAGGTTTTACAGCAACATGCGTTATAATGCAAACATTTCACAGTCTGCATGTATAGATCATCACTATGGACTTAGCAGTAGTCATATTTACTTACAGGTGAAGTCTCATCTTCCTGCTTAGCAATTGTCCTTTACAGTTCCTCTCTAGATACAAATCTAGAATGGCCAACAGAAAGCATGTTTTGTGACCAGAAGTCCTGTGCCTAGAGATGACCACTAGGCAGGACCTAGCAATAGGCAGGACAGGTCTGATAGAACCTTCCAGAATCCCAGCACAGCCTTCAGAGCTACACAGGGCCAAGGAAAGGCTGAATGCCCCCAATATGAGGATTATGTTGGAGATTAGGGATGTGAGTGAAGACTGCACTTGAATTACCCCCATAGTGGCCACACACAGCCATCGAAATAAGGTCAGCTGATGGCCAAAGTCAACAATTTGCTTGCAAACCAAAATTACACCTATGAATGGGGTCCATAGACCCTGAAATACAACACTCACTTGTTGTTAGCGGTTTGGTCGTCCATTCGCAGGACCGTGACTCTGTGAAGGTTTCCAAGCGATACTACCGATAAATGAAAACAAGAGTTATCAATCCATAGGAAGGAGACGTTCATTTGGGGTCCTCGTTTGTCAGAGCCCTTCAGCAGTATACTCACCCGGTATGTATTAAATGGCTTCATTTGCTGGATTTCCATCTGTTCCACAGGGGAGGTACCATAGCAGCAATGGCCATTGACATAGTCCAGAAGGGCCTTTTTGGCAGTCTCCTGGCTAATGGAGGGAATCCTGTCGAGGGGGAAAATAATTGGATGATTTCAAATGATGTTTAAGTAAGACGTACACACTGGAAAATTTTCATTTCGGATGCATTTGTTAATTGAAGAATTTTGTATCATATTCTGTAAATGGAACAGATTTATCTTCAGAATTCAATTCACATATTAGATGGTATCAGAAGGATTTAATATTTACGCATCCAATCCGAATTCATTGTGAAGAATAGCTGGTTGTTAAGCAGTGGTGGCTGCCACCTCCTTACCAACCATGATTTCCCGCTGACAATGCTGGCAAACCAAAAAGCGCTGGCATAAACCCCCCCCCACACACACACACACAGCGTAGGCCATACCCCATCCCCCACCCACCTCAAATCCATACCACATTTTTTTTTTAAATGCCGGCACTTGTTTGCATTGCGTTGTTGGCAGGGAATCCATGCAGTGGTGGTGCCCACTCCATAACCAGCTAGTTGCAATGAATGTGTTATATATTGTATGAATTAGAAAATGTGATGCCATCTGAAGCAAATTAATTTGTTTTTGTTTTTCTAACCGACTATCCCAAAATAATAGTAGCTCAAAAATGTTTTCACCCCAATTTGATTTCCCTTCACAAAGAAACTCCAGGCCCTTGGATGCTGTGTCTATGCAAGCCTTTCACTACCGATTGCGTCTACAAATCCTGGCTTTTCATTGGACACAGCGGAAAAAGTCATAAGCCCACAAAAGGCATAAGGAACATGAAGCTGAGGCCTTTACTCTTTGGGGTGCGTCACTCCTGTGTCATATAGGACGCTCCAATATACTCATTAATACCTTTAAGATGGGAAAAGATAAGAAGAACACAGATGGAGCTGCACTGATTATGAAGTACAAACCCAACAAGACATACAGACATCGACGCATTTCTGCACCTTAAACTGCTTTCAGGATGAAGATTTATGTAGGCAGCTTAGCACACATCCTCAGAGTTGCTGGGAGTGGGAATCCCCCTCTCCTCCCGGATCTCCAATCTCTGGGTCTGATTGTTGCCTGGAGCTGGATTATCTTTACTGTGATTGTATATAAGACAACAATGTGTCCAGAGCATGGAGGAGGAATACCAGGGTGGAGGACATCTATTGATGTGTGGACTCCAGAAGATAAAGCAGGTGCTGTTGGTCCAAGTGCAGTTCCTTGAACTGGAACTTTAGAAAGTGATCAATGAACCATATAGGAGGAACGTTCATTGCAGACTAAAATTACTTCTCAAATACACATCTACTGGCGTGGTCCTGGCATCTGGCAGAGATCCCGAAATCTGGTGTTCATTGTTCTGGGTGACACCATTCACTCCACCAATCACTCTCCTGATGCCTGTACTATGAGCCATCAGGTTCCAGGGGGGGTTCAAATAATCTATATTGCTTTTGTAAACATTAAACTGCTGGAACAAACAAGTACATACTGTTTATTTGCAGCTGTCATTTGATTTTTGATCTTGTTCCACTTTGGGAATCCCTGAAACACCATGTTTCAGGGACTTGTGCTCCCTTCTTCAGGGCTTCAAAGGTTGTAAAACAGCCATTTCTAAACCTTTAGTGCTCCCAGATATCAATATTTTGTTCCAAAATCCAATTCATAGATGTGACAGTAATAAGCATTTTGTACTAATTCCAGCCATAGGATTAAAATTCATCCAGTTCAGCAAGGACCAGACAAATTTTGATCCATGTATGGGCAAGCAGGATGTTCAGAAGTCCATCTACTGATCAATTTATGTGCTGCCAACCTATTGGAAAATTCACACAATCAGTGTCACAGGCTATAGCCAACAGTGGTGATCTGTGTACTCTGATAGTGGGGAACCCTTTTCACTGCCAGAGTACCTCAGCGGGAGGGATTCCTCTATCCACATCAAATGTGTGGATGAGGAATCAAGTCTTTTTTTTTTTCCATTAAACCCACTGGTTGACAAAAAAAAAAAAAAAAGAAGAAAAAAAAAGGCATCATAGTGTAATCCTGTAGACAATCTGTCTGAGGCAGCAAGGAGTCATCAATGGGTGGGTCAGAGTCAATGGACGGGTCTATTAATCCACATTGCCACTTACAATGAGATCAGCAAAAAGGATTCCCAGATGTGTGCTCACCAGGGGCGGACTGACCATTCGAGCACGGGGCCAATAGGGGGCCCCATGAGATGCCCCTGGTACCTTTCATAGGCTTTTTTTGGGTGTGGTTTGAGTGTAGGCGAGGACAAAGGGGCCCCATGATCCCCTATTGCCCGGGGGCCTCATAAGCTGTCAGTCCACCCCTGGTGCTCACCCTGACTGGATGTCACTTTAAATAAGGTTTCCACATGGTTGCTGGCCCAGATGACACTTGTTCTTGAAACAGATGTGTTACCAAAGCAAACAGTATGGCTGCCGGTAGGCCCCTGCTCCCTACGAAAAGCCTGCCATTTTCATTTCGGTGTATGTGAACAACAGCTTCTCTTATTTTGCGCCCTTTAAATCTGTCAAATACACCAATGAGAACATTATAATATCTACTTGATAAATTAAAAAAAAAAAAAAAAAAACCCCAGAGCATTTGTCAAATTCGGCACAGTGTCCTGCCTACTCCTTTAATTGCTCATCTTGGGAGCCCAGAAAGAAAAGCGGCAGGGCTTACACCACTTAGCCCTCAATATTCCTGTCAGTGCCTTCCTGACAGATTAGTATTTTCTGTACCAGCAGGTCTGTAAAAGGGAGAATAACGTGAGGAAAGGTCATGTATTGCAGAGATCAAATTCTATTTTTTACCCTGACAGACTACAATACAATGAAAGTCTCTTACGTCCAGTCTTTGTTTGAAGGGGTGGGGAGGGAATCGGGTCCAGGTCCTACCACTGGTGGGGGAGGAAGAAATTTCCCACCTGTAAAGAAAAGTAAAAAGTTTGATATGTAGTCCTGGCAGACGGATCTCATCATTTCTGCTTATTCAGCTTTAAGATGTTCTCCCAGCCTACAGCTGGATATCTGAGAGGTCTTCTCCTGGGGTCCGTATATAGACCAGCAACTGCTGATCTACAGGAGATGAGGAAAGGCCTACTGAACGGAACATCAAATACAGAATGACATCCAAAAAACCTCCAAAAGAGGAACTCATCCAGCTGTGCTATTGCCCATCATTTTGTGTTCTGTTGTTAAATGTCGTTCTCTTCTACACTCTCTCAATTCCCAGAAGTGGGGGGACAATGACCAGTGCCATGCAAACCGCGACAGAGAGACAGACCAGCGCCATACTCCCTCCTCAGGAGGTTTTCTTTAATTTCACTTTGTTAATCTTGGCAACAAGGAAAAATTGTGTTATCCTCACAAAGACTCCAGAGACCGAAGTGGACATTTATTAAAGTGCAACACTTTACACATCGCGGCCCTTCACTGTGTATAGAGCTCTCAGAAGATCCCGATTTTTAACAATTGTACCTCTGAGAAGAGAAGTGAAAAAAATACGCAGTCAATGGCCGCCATGTGTAGAAGTGAGATTTGTGTCCATGAGCTCCTGAATGAAATATATAAAAGATAACAACGAAAATGAAGACCAACGTGAGAGGGAACATTCAGGAAGATTTGTGTTTTATTTACATCAGGACATGCGACATGTGTAACAGAATGGATTTATAGAGCCAGAAAGGTGCCACAGGAACGTAATATCAATAAAAACACAATTACTTCAATTATTCATTAATGTTCTTCTCACACAGCAATATCTATACCCTGTTCTACAACATCATCCCAACCAACCCCACTTCCCCAAGGTTCCTCCTCACATGGCGCTCACCCTCCCTCTTCTCTCAGTATTAGACATGTGCAGAGCACAAACATTTGTTTCATTTTGGATCGACTTGTTAAGTTACTAATTTTGTTTTGTTGAATTTGTTAGGTTTAATTTTGTTTATTCGTTTTCAACCAGATTAACATTTTTCCACTAGATTCAAAGTATTCAAATCAAATTAGAATCAATCCAAATTCATTGTAAAGGATAGCTGGTTCTATTCTATTCAAAATTTGAATTTCAGAAATTCTTTATTGCAGGTACTTCTATAGCACCATCAATTTACGCAGCACTTTACATATATAATGTACATTCACATCAGTCCCTAACCCTCAAGGGGTGTACAATCTAAGGTCCCTAACTTATATTCATGTATACCCATACTAGGGCCAATTTAGACAGGAACCAATTAACCTCCCAGCATGTCTTTGGAGTGTGCGAGGAAACCGGAGTACCGGAGGAAACCCACGCAGGCACAGGGAGAACATGCAAACTCCAGGCAGGTGGTGCTGTGGCTGGGATTCGAACCAATGACCCTGGTACTGCCAGGTGAAAGTACTAACCATTTAGCCACTGTTCCTTTGTATTCTGTTTTTTTCTATTCTGGTTTATTCTATTCTTTTTTAAAAATTAGACCATTGTCAGCATCACCACCCCTCCTCACCAGTCACCATCATGGTTTCTCAGATTCATAAATATACACTAGTTAGTACAAAAAATATAATCGGTTGTAATAGAAGAGATATTATATCTCTCCCCCATGTCAACTATCTTTCCTCCATTCCACAAGGCTCACTGTTTTTTGACCTTCTGGGAGCATTGGAGAACTGTGTGCACCATATCTATCCTACCCCATGTCAGCACAGGACTCTGTGGGGGGTGGACAGAGGAAGGAACCACAAAGCACAGTGTGGGGGGGGACAGGCATCCAACATTGCTGAAAGTGAGGGATGGTTAAAAAAAAAAAAAAGTTTCAGACTTTTGATCTACAGATCTGGTTTAAACAGTTGAGACTTATGTTGAATATAATTTTCAGCAGTCAAATTAACTGGTGAGAAAAAATAAAAATACCCAAATGAACTTAAAGGCAGAGCTCCATTCCCTGGGGAAAAGACTGTAGCTGCTGACTTTTAAAAAAAGAAAAAGCAAAAAAAAAAAAAAAAATATAGCCGCTCACCAGTCCTACGATCCAACGTGTCCTCACCACAGCCAGGTTCACCAGCTGTCCTAATTTCCCGACACCTTAAGTGTGGAAACCTGCAAGCTGTCACAGGCAACTGCCCACTGCACATGCGCACGCTGCACTGCGCATGGTGAATGGTCCCGCTGTCTTCTGGATATGGTCATGTTTCCCAGAAAATTGCAAGGGGGGGGGGGGGGGGGGTGGAGAGAAGAACTTCAGCTTCTGATCGCAGTAAAAGTGGGAACCTGTCAAAAATAGGATATCCACCCCTCCAAAGGTGCCAATCCTCAATGGGGAGCGGGGGCGAGGCATTAAAAGTGGACCTTCCTCTTTTAGGTGGAGCGGTACATGTGGTCACACACATTTTTACAACCACTACAAATTTCTCAATTGACCACAGGGAACCACCCAATGAGGACCCCCCTAAATACACCTACAATGCACTCAATATTCAGGTTTGGATACATCAGGTAAGTCCTTGCTTTTCAATCTATAGGATATTGTGCCTCAGATAATGCGGCTAGAAAGGATACTTCATAATAAAATAGGGAAATGTTGATTCATGACAATGGACATGTCATTCAGGAAACAGATGGGGCCCATCAATGTGGTCTACATACAATTATTCAGTGGACTCTTTAGCAAACCCACACAGTTTCCAACATAAAAGTATTTTACAGACTAAACTGCACACCAAAGACAAAAATCTGGCCAACTTACCTCCTTCCCCCTCCATTCCTTCGTAGCCAGGTATGCCAGAGAACTGGGGATAGGGGGCAGTCTGAGGTACGAGGGGGTTTGTGTTCACCGATGGATAGAACCCTGGAGCCATGGCAGGATTCATAGCGGGGGGGTAGTTTGGTCCTGAAGGCATCATGGGATTTGCACCAACTGAGGAATAAGAATAAATCTTAGATGGTGATAAAATAAAGGCAACAATCCGATGTAGTCTGTTCATGGAGGAGCAAGTTTACAGAGGTCATAGATTGCAGATGCCATTACCATGACTGAAACCGAGGCATACCTGTATTTATTGGATATCCCGGCTGAACCATCATTCCGTAATTTGGCACCTCCATGGTTCTGGAACGAAAAAATAAAAATAAATATGAATACAATGAAACAAGAATCTAATAAGTCATTTTCTCAACCCTTGCCCAGCCAATCAGCAGCATGTAGGGGACGCCTTCAGATATTCTCTTACCATAAGGTGAAAGTTGGGTTCTGGTCTATAATTGGACAATTTTTTTTAAAAGTCAGAAGGGGTGGATGGTAGGCGAGGGGGCATATTGAGGGACATACCAGGGAACATGGTGCATGGTTAGTTTTCACAGTTATTTGTGGGGAGATCTGCTTTCTTCTGACAATCTAAGTGTTGATTAGATCCCCAATTATTGGATTATGGCTGGTGGCCCTCTCTGATCCCTAATGTATTGTACAATGGTGTGGGTGGGGGACTGGTTTGTGATGGAGAAGTAGAAATTTAAATACAGAAATAGACAATATGCTCAAATGGCCCACCATTTAAACTGTTTTTGCCAACATCACACACACAAAAAGCTAGGAATATTCCCCTGGGACTTTGTATGGCAAAAATCAGAATGAGTATACAAAAATATAAAAAATAGTAATGTTTATTACAAAAGATTAACTAAATATGTCAGGTCTAGAACATAACACATCAAATGAATGTAAACAATACTGTATAGTACATAATATTTTAAAAATGTACAAAAAAAAAAAAACACAAAACACACAGAGTGCACTACAATCGGATAATAAGTGACAAGTATTCATGGAAAATTGATGGAAGATGCTCTCCAAATGACACATCAGGGAGAGGGCAGGCAGAGACGCCCCAGCTGCCCATCCACCAGCAAGGACCACATAGCAGCAGCCAATGAGGGAATCTAAGTATAATGCGAGCCATAAATAATAAAATATAATATTTGTAATTTGGCACATAAAAATGGTGTGATTCAAGCGAAAAGATTGTCAGCATAGGGGCTAAATAAAAATATGTAATTGTGTTAAAATGGCAGAAATAATCCGACCCAAATAGAGGTAACAAAGAATACATATATGGGCCCATACACAAACAGGCTCACTCCTCCATAAGGGGAGCATATAAAAATGCTAAAACATTGTAAGATGCTCACCAATAGTACCTCTATGTATCTCATATGTAGCCACCTCAGGATTGTCCCAGAGAAATAGAAGTGCCAGAGATCTAGTATAAATAGTACTGATCCAATACTCAAGCGCCAATGAGCAGCTGTCCCTATTTGGTGCCAAATGTTGTAAATACCTAAAGTATATAAATTCTCCCCCCATCTTGCTGCACAAAACATCAACATGACAGCCATTTGCATTCCCTCGGACGCACAAGCAGCAAAACCTTGGGCAGACGGGTGGCTGTGGACAAGGTATACTTGAAAAGAGAGCTGGCTGTGGACATAACGGGGGGGCTGTGGACGTGGTATACTTGGACAGAGGGGGGGGGGCTGTGGAAGTGTCATACTTGGACGGGGGGGGTGGACGTGGTATATTTGGACAGAGGGGGGGGGCTAAGGACGTGGTATACTTGGACGGGGGGGGGGCTGTGGACATGGTATACTTGGACAGAGGGGGGGGGGGGCTGTGGACGTGTTATACTTGGACAGGGGGGGCGGTGGACGTGTTATACTTGGACGGGGGGGGTTAAGGACGTGGTATACTTGGACGGGGGGGTTAAGGACGTGGTATACTTGGACGGGGGGCTGGCGGTGGACGTGGTATACTTGGACAGAGGGCTGGCGGTGGACGTGTTATACTTTAACAGGGGGGGCGGTGGACGTGTTATACTTGGACGGGGGGGGGGGGGGTTAAGGACGTGGTATACTTGGACAGAGGGGGGGGGGCTGTGGACGTGTTATACTTGGACAGGGGGGGGCTGTGGACGTGTTATACTTGGACGGGGGGGGTTTAAGGACGTGGTATACTTGGACAGAGGGCTGGCGGTGGACGTGGTATACTTGGACAGAGGGCTGGCGGTGGACGTGGTGTACTTGGACAGAGGGCTGGCGGTGGACGTGGTATACTTGGACAGAGGGCTGGCGGTGGACGTGGTATACTTGGACAGAGGGCTGGCGGTGGACGTGGTATACTTGGACAGAGGGCTGGCGGTGGACGTGGTATACTTGGACAGAGGGCTGGCGGTGGACGTGGTATACTTGGACAGAGGGCTGGCGGTGGACGTGGTATACTTGGACAGAGGGCTGGCGGTGGACGTGGTATACTTGGACAGAGGGCTGGCGGTGGACGTGGTATACTTGGATTTTGCAAAAGTGTTCCCCACATGCAACTAAAGTCTGCGGGCTGGAAAAATGTGTATGTAAATGAATAGAAAACTAAAAGGATTGTATTCAGAGAATAGTGGTTAATGATTCATACTCTGCATGGTCTAGAGGCGTTAGTGGGGAGCCCCAAGGTTCAGTGCTATAGGTGGGGTGCCCCAAGGTTCAGTGTTATAGGTGGGGTGCCCCAAGGTTCAGTGTTATAGGTGGGGAGCCCCAAGGTTCAGTGTTATAGGTGGGGTGCCCCAAGGTTCAGTGTTATAGGTGGGGAGCCCCAAGGTTCAGTGTTATAGGTGGGGAGCCCCAAGGTTCAGTGTTATAGGTGGGGAGCCCCAAGGTTCAGTGTTATAGGTGGGGAGCCCCAAGATTCAGTGTTATAGGTGGGGTGCCCCAAGGTTCAGTGTTATAGGTGGGGAGCCCCAAGGTTCAGTGTTATAGGTGGGGAGCCCCAAGGTTCAGTGTTATAGGTGGGGAGCCCCAAGGTTCAGTGTTATAGGTGGGGAGCCCCAAGGTTCAGTGTTATAGGTGGGGTGCCCCAAGGTTCAGTGTTATAGGTGGGGTGCCCCAAGGTTCAGTGTTATAGGTGGGGAGCCCCAAGGTTCAGTGTTATAGGTGGGGAGCCCCAAGGTTCAGTGTTATAGGTGGGGTGCCCCAAGGTTCAGTGTTATAGGTGGGGAGCCCCAAGGTTCAGTGTTATAGGTGGGGAGCCCCAAGGTTCAGTGTTATAGGTGGGGAGCCCCAAGGTTCAGTGTTATAGGTGGGGAGCCCCAAGGTTCAGTGTTATAGGTGGGGTGCCCCAAGGTTCAGTGTTATAGGTGGGGTGCCCCAAGGTTCAGTGTTATAGGTGGGGAGCCCCAAGGTTCAGTGTTATAGGTGGGGAGCCCCAAGGTTCAGTGTTATAGGTGGGGAGCCCCAAGGTTCAGTGTTATAGGTGGGGAGCCCCAAGGTTCAGTGTTATAGGTGGGGTGCCCCAAGGTTCAGTGTTATAGGTGGGGTGCCCCAAGGTTCAGTGTTATAGTGTGGGGAGCCCAGGTTCAGTGTAATAAGGTTCAGTGTTATAGGTGGGGAGCCCCAAGGTTCAGTGTTATAGGTGGGGAGCCCCAAGGTTCAGTGTTGGGACCCTTACTTTTTAATATATTTATAAATATGGGGTGTGAGATTATAAATCCCATTTCAGTCTTTGCAGATGACACCAAGCTGTGCCGGGGAATAACGTCCTTACAGGATGTCTCCAACTTCCAAGCCGACCTCAATGCTCTGTGTAATTGGGGGGACTATGGGGCCAATGAGGGCTAATGGTGATAAATGTAAGGCTCTGCACTTGGGGGCTAAGAATATGAATGTATCATACATACTAGGGGGGGTTGGTCAACGGTGGAGAATGATCTGGGGGGGGGGAGGGTCAATGGTGGAGAAGGATCTGGGGGTTCTGGTAGATCACAAGCTTAATAATGGCAGCCATGCCAAGCTGCGGGTTCTAAAGTGAGCAAAATCCTCTCTTGTATTAGGAGAGGTATAGACTCAAGGGGGGGGAGATCATATTACACTCCCCCCCCCCTCCCCCGGTACAAATCATTAGTAAGACCTCATCTGGAATATGCAATTCAGTTTTGGGTTCCAACTCACAAAAAGAACATTGGGGAACTGGAGAAAGTACAGAGAAGGGCAACCAAACTGATACGAGGCATGGAGGAGATCAGCTATGAGGAGAGATTGGAGGAACTGAATGTATTCTCTACTGAGGAGATTAAGGGGGGATATGATCTCCATGTATAATACATAAGGGGGATATGATCTCCATGTATAATACATAAGGGGGGATATGATCTCCATGTATAATACATAAGGGGGGGATATGATCTCCATGTATAATACATAAGGGGGGATATGATCTCCATGTATAATACATAAGGGGGGATATGATCTCCATGTATAATACATAAGGGGGGCTATGATCTCCATGTATAATACATAAGGGGGGATATGATCTCCATGTATATTACATGAGGGGGGATATGATCTCCATGTATAATACATAAGGGGGATATGATCTCCATGTATAATACATAAGGGGGATATGATCTCCATGTATAATACATAAGGGGGGATATGATCTCCATGTATAATACATAAGGGGGGATATGATCTCCATGTATAATACATAAGGGGGGATATGATCTCCATGTATAATACATAAGGGGGGGGGATATGATCTCCATGTATAATACATAAGGGGGGATATGATCTCCATGTATAATACATAAGGGGGATATGATCTCCATGTATAATACATAAGGGGGGATATGATCTCCATGTATAATACATAAGGGGGGATATGATCTCCATGTATAATACATAAGGGGGATATGATCTCCATGTATAATACATAAGGGGGGGATATGCTCTCCATGTATAATACATAAGGGGGGATATGATCACCATGTATAATACATAAGGGGGATGTGATCTCCATGTGTAATACATAAGGGGGGATATGATCTCCATGTATAATACATAAGGGGTGATATGATCTCCATGTGTAATACATAAGGGGGGATATGATCTCCATGTATAATACATAGGGGGGGGATATGATCTCCATGTATAATACATAAGGGGGGATATGATCTCCATGTATAATACATAAGGGGGGATATGATCTCCATGTATAATACATAAGGGGGATATGATCTCCATGTATAATACATAAGGGGGGATATGATCTCCATGTATAATACATAAGG